GAGGCTCGTCTGGGTGATGGTATGTTGTCCTGAAGACAGTGTGGGATGACTATTGCTCAGCCACGTCTGGATGTTACGGGACATAACCAAGTGAGATGTGCTTGTGTGCTGTCCAACATGTCTATGTTCTGTGAGGCAAATACTGGTGTTGCATAGGGAAGACAGGGATTTGTGGAACCGGTATGGGGAGAATCTGTGGGCTGTGTGGCACGTGCTGGTGTCTTATGTTGTAGCACTGTCTATTGATTGTTGCTCAATTCCCGTGATATTTTAAGATTCTGTGTCGTGGAGAAGTTTATGTCATGTGGATTGTCCACAGGGGCTGTGAAGTGAGTTCTGAGTGTTGTTTGGCCAGCGCAGTGTTCTACGGTGAGAATGTGGATTGTACAGCATGTAAGTGAACGGTAGGGTCCATTTAGTTCACTTGTGCGTGGAGGAGTTTCTGTATCTCGGCTATGGCTGTACATTGCATTGTGCATCTGTGTTGTGTGGTGAACCTAGGGTTATGCAAGTCTGTGCCCTGGACACTAATCATTGTCAGCACAGACCTGGTAAAGAAAGGTGGGAGGTCCGGTAGGCGTGATGTCATCCTGTACCTTACGATGAACTCCATGTATTGTGGGTGATGCTAGGTAGTTTAGGCTGAGTCTTACCATTATGGTCCAGTTCCGTATGTAGTAACAACAATAACAACAACAGCAAACACCGATAACACCAATTCTGCGCAACACACTGTTCTGAGCACTTTATAGGCACTCATTCCTTTATTCTTCTTAACAGTTCTACGAAGTAGGTACCATTATTATTCTCAATTTACACCTGGGGAGAATAAGGCATGAAGAGATTAAGAAACTTTCCTGGCCACACAATTAGTAAGTGATGCATGCTGGATGGGAACCCAGGCAGCCTGAATCCTAACGGTAAGCTTTTAACTGCACTTCGCCCTGCTGCTTTGTTTTGGGCTGTGCTCTGTGTTGTGCCATGGTTCTCGTGGGGCATGCCTGGGTGTCCCGGATGTTGTGGACCTCAGAGTGCCAAGTATTGTAAACTGTACCCTGGGGCTTTTCTGTGTGTGTTAGCGGGGTGGGCATCGCGTTCAGCAAGCAGTGTTTTATGTTATTTGGGGAAGCCAAGGGCTGAGGCTCGCACTGCATGTACCAAGACTTCCTGTTACAGTCAACTTTGCAAAACTGTGTGTCAAATGTCAGGCCTCTGCTTGAAAGGAAAGATGTGTGGGGATGTGAGCTGGTATTGGTATCTGTTTTGAAAGGAATGTGAACTTGTTGTGACTCTAGTCCATGGATTCGAGCACCTGTCTCATGGAATCAGTATAGATATTGTTGCCCAAATCTGGGCTGTATGGAGGAGTGTGTAAAATCTGTGCTGTGGAGAAGTCGTGGGTACTGTGGGACACATACATATGTCGGAGGGGTCTCCAAATATTATGGGGCCAATGGCCACATTGGGGGAGGGCATGCTGTGCTTTTTAGGATGCCTGTGTGTTATGGAAGGGGTGTCGTGGAATAGCTCTGCGCATTTTGGGGCCTGTTCTTGCTCCTGAGAAGTGTTTGGGTGCTGTGGGACATAGCTGTGCATTGGAGACAAGTGGGCATTTTGGGGGGACGAGTCTGCATTGTAGAGGGTGCGTGTTATGCAATGCTACACATTATGAAGATTCTCCATATATATTAGAGTATCACAAAGTGTCTGAGGAGTGTACCTCTGTGTTTGTGAGGCAAGCTTTCCTTCATGGGAAAAGACCTCAAGTCATGGGTCTGGTCTGTCTGTTATAGGCGATTGCACACACTGTCTGCACACACCTCACCACTTTGCAGCGTGCCTGGCGCAGTGTGTGTGTATTTTGGTGAGCCTGCATTGTGAGGTGCTGCTGAATTCTGGGGTCCACCTGTGTGTTGCACGATGCATCTGAAGTGACCATGTGTAAATTTAGGAGTAGGTGTGGGAATAGTAGGTCTGTCTACACATTATGGAGCAAAACTCTGTGTGTGCTGTGACAAAAGGCATATCACCGAGTCGTAGGGGTGTGTGTGGTGCTGTGGGCCTCTACTTGCGCAGTGGGACATTGAGGGATGAGTCTGTGTTATGCAGCAGGCCTGGGCACGACAGGCCAACTTTCTTGACCGTGGTGCAATTCTGTGGTTTGTGAATAGCATCTGCTTTAAGGTTCTATCTCGTGCTCTGTACGATCTGGTGGCGTCTGTGCTGGAGTGCTTGTGCTGTAGAAGTTCTCTAGATAGTCTACACTACTCTACGGATCCTGTGGTGATTTTTGTGTGGTCATATGTTGGCAGGAACCTAGAGCAGGCCCTCTTGCATTGAAGGCAATGGCGGTGGTGAGGCTGTGAGTGACGGTGATGGTTAGCAGCACCGGAAATTGCCCCTGCCGACCTGACACGCTACCAAGCACGTGACACATCTCAATGCATTTAGTACTGAGACCGACCGTTCGGAGGAGATGCTGGTATCTTTGCTTTACAGATGAGCCAACTAAAGAGTAAAGAAATATACTTACCCCATGTGTAACCCCCACGTGGAACCCAGGTAGCCTGGGTCCTGAGACGCAGCCACTACGCACGCGGTGTGTCTGTCGTGGGAGAGACTGGGAGCTCGGTGGTTGGACAGACACAGTTTTCCTGACGCAGGGGTGCGTGGGCGCCTCGCATCTGCACACTTACAGCTGCTCACCTGTGTCGGAGGTTTCACATCTGCGAGCTAGTCTGTGTGGCCTTGAAATTCTGTGCCTCATGGAAGAAATGGATGTGTTTCCAGGCAAGCCTGGGAATTGGACATTCTGTGGTGTGATGAGGTGGTGGGACAAGCATAGTCTGAAGGGCCTGCCTGAGCCTTCAGGGTGCCCGCGGCGTCCGTGTGCACGCGGCCCAGACTTCATGGGAGAATGTGTGCTGGAGCTGTGTGCAGGGCGCTCTTGGCCCGCTGATGGGCAGCAGAGCGAGCGGTGGGCCCAGGCTACATGCCTGGAGGGGAACCAGGATTGTAACCATGGCCTCCAGGCTTGGGATAGTATGTCTGTGCCACGGAGTCGCCATAACAAGTTGCCATAACACGTTCTGTGACGTGCACGTGCTGGAAGTTTCCACTGCAACCCAGCTGCATGCAGCATGGGGAAGGAGTGTTGTGCTGTGGGAGGGGTGTGTGTTATGGGGTGCGTCTGAGTGAGGGCACTGTGGGTCAGGCCTGTGACTGCCCTGAAAGGGGTCTGAACACCATAGATGAAGAGTCCATGCTACTGAAGCACAAATGTTTCTCTTGGGAAACAAATCTGTCCATCTTAGGGGCAATGTACATACTGTGATGTGGTGCTGAGTGCTGTGAGGTGAAGGTCTAATGGAGAGCACCCCTGAAGAGTTGGGGTACCTTGCTGACGGGGGTCACACTGTGCATCATGTGGAACTGTCTTTCTGGTAGATGTCATGGGTGAGTGTTCCAGGTGTGTGGAGAGCCTGTGCGCTGAGGTGTGCACGCTCTGCTGTGCTGAGTACAGGGTGTGCATCCTCCAGCCAGTGTGCCTGAGGTGACACGCAGTGTCCTGTGGGGAGGCCTGTACCCTGTGTAAACAGTCAGTTCAGTGTCGAGGGACAGTGTGTGGCATGACCACTAAGGGCCAGACTGTGTTCTCTGGAGAGAGTATGTCCTGGGAAACCTGTGGGTTGTGGAGAAACGCTCTGTGCCCCAGGTTCGGTCCAGGTTTCACGGGGTGAACACATCAGCGTGACCGCAGCAGTGCTACTGGGGCTGAGTCCTCGGGGCTGCTCTGGTCCCTGTGCTGTGTGCCCTGGGTGGACCAGCGTACTGTGGGGGTGTCTGCTTCATGGGCCGGGGCTCGAGCTGGGCTGTGCACTGCCTTTTGGGGCCACACCGGTGTTCTGTGGGGAGTCATGTGCTCTAGGGTTAGTCTGGGTACTGCGGGGGCGAGTCTGTGTGGTGGAGGTGAGGCTGTGATCCCTGAGGGACACTGCATGAGCCACAGGACAAGTCTACCAAAGTGGCAGGAGCCTGGTGTGGAGAGATGAGTCTGTGTGACACACTGAAGGTTAGTGGGCAACGGGCAGTGTGCTGGGGGTGGGGCAGTATTTTTGTGGGGGGTCAGTGATGTGAGGGGAATCCCAGGGAGAATCTCAGCTATGTGTTTAGTTGGTTGGGTACTAGAGAACGAAAGGGGGGGCGGGGGTCATATCTCAGCACTGTGGGAATTATCCACGTATAATGGAGAGTGTCTATGCATTGCAGGAGTCTCTGTGCACTGTGGGGAGTTATCTGTGTCCTGTGGAGACTCTGTGTTGTGGGGAGTATCTGTGTGCTGTGGGGACTCTCTGTGCGCTGTGGAGAGTATCTGTGTGCTGTGGGGAGTCTCTGTGTGCTGTGGGGAGTATCTGTGTGCTGTGGAGTACCTGTTTTTGCCTTGAGAATCTTTGTGTTCCTGGAAGGATCTATGTTCTGTGGGGAGAGACAGACTATGTGCCAGGGGAAGGATCTGTGACTGGGGCACGGTGTGTGATGTGATTGTGTGACATGGGTAGTTGTAATGCTAGAATGCATCTGTGCCACTTGGGGTGCATCTGTATCCTTTGGGTGGGACTTTTTGCCTTGGGTGGGCACAGGCGTGCCTCTGGGTGAGTTAGTGACACGGGGGCTATCGACGCATATGCCCTACGGGGCCAGTCTTTTTGTCCTGCTGCTTGTGTCTGTGCCATGGAAGAGCGTGTGCACTGTAGCAGCAAGTGTGTGTTCGTGTCATCTGGCCAGTGGACATTATGGGGGTGGGGGGAGACGGCTTGTTCCGTGCAGCACTATTCTGCTTCAGGGCAAGGCTCTTTCAATCTCTACAAATGACAAGGGCCAACGCTTACACAATGGTAACTCTGTTCCAGATACTGTCGTTAAGGTGCCATTGTTATCCCCATCTTTCATTTGAGGAAACTGAGGCACAGAGAGGTTGAGTAATTGTCCTAGGGTCATACCGATGGCACGTGGTGGAGGTCTGACACCATACAGTCCTCTTCCAGTGCCCACATTACTATGACTCCCGAGGGCATCAGTGGCCTCAACACTGGGAACACTCCATGGTCACTGGGGAAATAGTGACAACAGGTAAACTGTGAGGAAGAAGAGTGCTCAAAGTCTTCCAAGTATATTCTGAAAGCGCAATGCTCTGTATACAATAACAAAGAAAGGCAGCCCGGAAAAGCTGACATCATGACTGCAGCATAATTCCTTCAGTGACTGCCCCCACCCTCCCCCAGCCTCCAAAGCCGCATTCTGCCACTGCAGAGGAGCCAACACGCACGCCTGGTGAGCTGTGGTTGCCAGGGAAACCAGCCTCCAGTCACAAACAAATCACAGGTCTAATGCGGCCAGGCCAGTCAAGAAATGACCGACGCTGAGGCTCTGAGCCGAAGGCGCCCCTAGCAATAAGGGCTGGCAAGGCACCCTCCCAGCCTCGCCCCCCTTTCCCTCCCCAAATCAGTAAAAGCTAGAGGTCAGAGTAGGAAGTCATAAAGAAGGCTGCGCTGGGGGTGGGTAGGGGTGTCAACATGGAACGCAGCCGCCACCAAAAGGCTGCGTGTCTGCTACTTGAGCCTTCACCCCAGTGGGAAGCGGGTGTCCCCGCCTACAAGCGATGGTGGCAGTGTGGGCATGGGTTGAGCTGTCCTTCCTCCTCCATTAAGCCCCTCGTGAGACCACTGCCAGCAACAGGCTGGCAAACATTTCTGCTCCTCATACATGTGCCTCTTAGAACCTTCTACAAATTCCACCAACTGAGTCTGGACAGATTGACCCCTCTGGGTATCTCAAGAGCAAAAAGATGGAGTAACCTTAGCAGAAACACTAACCTGGAGGCATTTTTTGCAACACACAACAGCACATCTGGCATCATGAGTTCTTATATCTGGATTCCTCAATTTTAATTTGTAAAAAATGACAGAGGAAAATAAAATTTTAAAACAATTAAAAATGTTGAATCCCTTTTGGAAACCATCACCCTAAACTGCATGTACCTAGAATTCTTGAAAGGTATGAGCACGACCAGGATGCTTTGGGACGCTGCCAAAAGCTGTAAGAAAGCAGGCGGACTAGTGGCATGTAACCATCTCGGGCAGAGAGAAAATGGCCGGCTGGTGGGAAGCTACACCCGCCCTAACGGGAGAACAGCTGTTGCCATTTCAAATCAGTGGAAGAATGTTGGATTATTCAATAAATGATGCTGAAACAATTGGTGACCTATTTGGAAAAAAAACAAAATTAGATCCTACTTCATACCATATACCAAAATGAATTCCAGATGAGTTAGAGTTAACTATAAAAAATAAAGCAATGAAATGACTAGGAAAAAAATACAGGTGAACAGACTCAGCAAAGGAAAGAAAGAAATCACAAATCAAAAATTGATGGCTGTGGATATCTATAAATGTAAAGCTACGTTTTAAACAACCCACCAGAAATGAAAAGAAACCAGTAGGAAGACAGGAACCAGGAGATAGTGTTTTTACCATATATGATAAATAAAGTAGGCGATGTGTATGGCGGAAGTGGGGGAGAAACCTTACATCGGTTCATACCATTTGATCCAGGAATTCCACGTCTATGAATTTATCCTGAAGGAAAAAAAAGAAAACCAGAAGAGCACACAGAGATTTATAAGGAAAGACATTCCTTAAGTTAAAACAGCAAAAATCGTACATTCAAACTTTCATTGTAGTCAGACACCTGTGTGATGGGAAAGCATGCATCCACCGAGCATCACATTCCTAGGAAATATTTCAAAATATGGAGAATGGCTCCCCAAACCAAACCTCTCGGGCCGTTTGAGCTTCATTTTGTATGTAAGTATCTATTTCTATGCAATTGTTCGCATGTCCTCGGGAAGAGGAGCTGCCGGCAATGATGTTAATAGTAACAGTCTTCCAGGTCATGCCACCGTGGCCAATTTTCTAGTTACCTTTCAAATTTTCCAAATTTTCTACAGGGAAAATGTAATGCCTTTACAGTGAAAGGGAAAAGACAGCATTGTAACAAAACGTTCTAGGAAGTGCTGTAGGAGCAAAGGGGAGCAGCGGGTTAGGAATAAAGACAGCCAAAAGCAAAGACTGAATGCACCGAAGGACAGCAACGCAAGGAAGAGAAACGAGTCGGGGGGGGGGGGGGCTGCGTAAAGATCACGGTGTGAGCTGCGTGTTAGTAGGTGCGGAATGTCTTCCACAAGATGGACTCCTGGAAAATTTTCTTCACTACACCAGAGAACAGTCACATGTCTCCGGATGCGTCAGTCATTCTCTGCCGCAGCGCTCTGTCAGCAACCCTCCCTCCGGCGTCAACATGCTCTCCCCCTTCCCTGCAAGACACGCTGCCAGCAGACATTTTCAGCTTGGAAAAATGGCCCATGTGACGGACTTTCTTTTAAATATTTTCAGTCTTATTTTTCCTCCCTGATTGCTGCTTTGTCATCTCACCGAAACACCTGCCTCGCTTTTTTCTCCTCTCCTCCCATTAAAGTGTCAAAACAACCTGACTTCCAGAGAAATAAAAAAATTAAAAAAAAAAAAAAACCTACCACTCAGCTTTTTTTTTTTTTTTCTTTCCCTTGCAGAAACATCTACCAAACTAATATCCAGGTTAAATAAGATACAAGAACTTGCACGTTTTCAGGCACCTATCAAAAACAAACATGAACAGCTTTGTTGATAAGAATCTCTGCGATCCTTTCCATGTCCCTTTCCAAAGAAAGAAGCACGGAGAATATTCTGTCTTGACACTACAAATTGATGTCCACAAACACAGATGACTTGTTTTCAAAATAAAGGCACAGTTGCAAGATACATTTTTTCCCTTTCAGATTTTTCATCCTAAAACCCAATTTTAACCTTTCCCATTTCCACACGCTCATCTCTCACATGAAGCCATCAATTTCCACATTACAGGAGCTCTTTCTCATTTTCTCCCCTGTGCAGGTACCCAGTCATCTGCCTGCCTTAATGTTATACAGGTAAGGCATGGTACCCCTCTCCCTTTCCACAGAGCACTTCCTCCTGCTCTCTCCACAGTGTGGGAAAAAATGAGATCTGAGAACATCTTGAGTCGGAACCCACTCCATCATATCTAGTGCAAACATCGTAATACAATTTCCCATTTTAGTAACATCTTCATCACATCCTATTTGGGAAAAGATCTTACCAGAAATACAAGGGCACGTTTCTATATTTCCTTCTAGCAACTCATTAGCCATTTAAGAAACAAGTTTTGAACTCAAAAAGTGACCATGGAGTATTCAGAATTTATCTAATCCATTTCGCCAATGCCACTGATTAGAAGCAGAAATTCCAACACAGCTCTGTATTATTCTATTCCATCAAGACCTGTCACCTGCTACAAAAAGCATAATTTGTATAGCTAGTTCACAAAAGATTTCTCAGCTACTTACCAGCTGCAGGCACCCTGCCTCTCCAGCAGCTCTGAGGCTGTGGCGCCGAGGGGGTGGGGAAAGGCAGCGGCCAACATGAGCTGTGCTCTGCAAAGGGATTCCCTCTGTGGAGAGAAATGAAATGCCTTGGGATTGTCCTCAAAATTCCTCCCCCGTCATAAAACCATGTCAAACTCTACATGCTAAAAGGACATGCTCATCAAAGGGCAGGTTTTCATAGCGAAACCTCTGATGTGAAATGCTCTTAAAGTGCCTGATTTCCAGTGAACCCCTACAATGCCCTGGGCTTTTGGCTCTCCCGTCTCCTAGCAACAGTCTCATTAATATTTTTTCTGCAGTGGTCCTACTAGGCATCAGAGAACATCAACCACTTTCAGTATCCGGCAATGAACGGTCCCGTTTTGTTGTTCAATACGAGTTTTCCCCAGAGGAGAGCAGCAGGGAGAGTCAGAAATGCAGGAACAAGTTCTCCAGAGGAAGATTTCAGATTCAAATGACATTCCTTTCAAATGACAGATTGTCCTTGTGCCCTCCCTTGGTGCAATGCTGTCATTAGACCCTTGACCTAAAGATGGCCCGATCCCCTCTGTAGGCTGTGAGTTCTACCCACCCCCAAGACTAGAAATCCAGGTCCAAGACCAGTGTCGCTTTCCACTGCACTCAGAGAAAAAAAGGTGCAGAATTCATTTGTATTCTTGGCCCTGTGACGATGACCCCCCCATTAGCATGGCTACTGGACACAAGTCACAAAAACAGGGGGTGATGTATAGCCCGATCAAAAACCCACTCACCTATACTGATTACCTTGGGGAATAGTGACTTCAGGTTAAGGAACCAACAGCCGGTTACAATTCTGTACGTATAATATGAACACTTCCAAATGGACCTGAAGAAATCTGGAAGGGTCTACAACAAAATACTTATGTCTGGGTTTTTTATTGATCAGAGACTTTTTCCTTTTTGATTGTTTAGTAACTTTTCTGTAACTCACATATATTCTTTAGGTTATTAAAGAGAACCATGCACAATAAGTTAACACACTTAGTACTGAATATCATTTATGCCAATGTTCTGTGTGTTTAAAATAGTTGAAATGATAATTTTGTGCTATGCATATTTTACTATAATAGTATAATACAGTATAAAATAGTATATATATTTACACTACAATAAATAGTATAATATAAAATAGTATATGTGTACTTACGCTACAGTAAATAGAAGAGAGAGAACCACTGATTCACCCCACAAACATTGAGGTATGAAATGCACCTCATTCAAAAGCTGCTGGGGTCAGGGATTTTAAAAATGAATAAAGCACAGTTTGGTCCCCTTCCAACAGCTGACAAACTACTATCTAACAAACTATTTCCAAAACTTCCACAGGGAGGCTTATTATACATGATATATAGAACTGCTGCGTGTAGAAACACAGGTATTTTGTTATAAGCTTTTAAAAATCTCATCAATTGGGGGGAACATTACTAATTAGGAGTGTCACATTTTGTGTCTAAAACTATTGTGCCTCCAGTGGGACAGTAAGAAATACATATTTTTCAACACATAAATATACACATGCATTTGTATGGAAATATCATGTTTT